TGTGGGATTCCTGGCATGTCTGGAGGATGCCAGGCGAATATGTCCCAATTCTCGCGCAGGAACTCCCATAGTGCGGCGTCTACGGCGGGGTTTAACTATGCCCCAATGGACGTTGTTTTTGTGGGGTCCGTTGGATGGACTTGCAATTTGACTATTTCATCCGCTGGTTTAAAGGAGATGGACTTGGATCTTTTGTCTAGTATCACGTCGTCCCTGTCCACTGTGGAGCGCAACGCGGTTAACTCCTCCGCCACAAGGGCTTCGGCTAGTGCCTCGAGGGCCAGTGCGGCTGTTTTGTTCTCGGCGCGGAATGCTATGTCCGGATCACTAGCTAGAGTGATGATTCCATTGGGTCCGGGCATTTTGAGCTTTATGTACCCGTAATGGGGTATGGCTTGAAAAATTGTGAATGCCTCCCGCCCTAGAAGGGCGTGGTATCCGCTACTGAATGAGGCCACTTGGAATGTGATTTCTTCGGACCTGTAATTCTCCGGAGTGCCGAATACCACATCTAGTGTGATTTTCCCAGCGCAACGTGCCTCCCGACTAGGGATGATTCCTCGGAAGGTTGTGGTGCTTTGCTCAATATGGTTGCTGTCTATTTCCATTTTTTGAAGAGTCTCCTCATAAATGAGGTTTAATCCGCTGCCGCCGTTCGTGAGCACTTTAGTGAGCCGAAAGTTGTCCACAATTGGACTGAGGACCAAAGCGGCTGGTGCTCGGGCTGTTTGGGATTTAGGTTCGTCACTGGCATTGAAAGTAATGGCCGTGTCGCTCCATGGATTTATTGCTGCTACGTGGCAGACTTCGGCAAGGCTGCGGAGTGCTCGCTTACGCCTATTATTTGAGGCGAAGGTCTCAAAGACTGTTAATACTGTATTGTTATCCGCGGGAGGGAGTTATGGGATGTTTTGTATGAGGAGATCCTCACCTCTCTTGGCCACCTGCCGGAGTACCCAACATGCTCTAAGGCTATGTGTTGGTATGGTGTCCGTCATACTATGAATTTTGCAGGGCCCGTTAAGCCATCCTTCCAATACGGTTCCACGCCCTGTAGTGGGCTTTTGCTTCTTTGTAATTGAGTCAAGCGGCTTATGAGAGTGCACCCTTTTAGTTCGGACTGGGGATTTTGTCAAAGTCGGATTGTCCCAAAATTGTGTTTGGGTTTTCCAGGCACTTTCCATCGCACAGTATTTCCGTATTATGGCCACCAAGTCAGCGAAGTGTGCTATGTCACGGCGACTTATGGCGTTAAGGATTCCCTTGTCCGTGCAATTGTTGCAAAAGAACGAAATTGCATCTTCCTCGCAACAGTCCTTGACCTTGTTCATTACAAGGAGGAATCTGGCCCAATAGTGATGTACTGTCTCTTGGGGAGCTTGCCTAATGTGGGAAAGATCGTTTGTATCTGGTGGGTGGGTGGATTTAAGTCCAGACCTTGACCCAATCTGAGATCCCGGGGTAGGGGAGTTTCCGATCTTGGAAGTTCGGGCTCCGGGATGTTGCTCTACAGGTTCGGTATGCGACCTGATTCTAGGTTCAGGGTTAGGGCAATGTCCTCCCGTGAGCGGGTATCCGGCTCGGAGAGCTCGGGAATCCGGACATAGTTCGTCCTCGGGATAGAGGGAGAACCGCCGCATTGCTCCTCCACCACCGCTATTTGATAGGTGATCGGCGGAGAGTTAATCTCCCTTTGGTCGGGTTTAAGCTCGATCCGATCGTAGTCCGTGGCGACTCCCAGAGCGGCGATGCGATACAAGAGCTCATTCAAAGAGGAGAGCTCCATTGGATCCATCTACTCGGCGAATTTTGAGCCGATGTGGAGGCTATTTTCGATGACCCGAGAAGTCATCATCGGCGCGACGGCCGAGCGGGCGGTCATGACAAAGCCGCCTAGTTAGAGAGTTTGGCCTACAGCCAGGGCTCCCCCAGAAGTGATGTTGTCCTTGACAACGAGACGAGCCATCCTCCTTATGATGACGGCACAGTGGAACTCTCAATGAAAGCATCAATGTCGGTGTCAAAACCGGCGGATCTCGGGTAAGGGGTCCCGAACTGTGCGTCTAAGGGGATGGTAACAGGAGGCAGGGGACACGATGTTTACCCAGGTTCGGGCCCTTGAAGGAGGTAATACCCTATGTCCTGCTTGATTGTTCTTGATGATATGAGTATCACAAGAGTTGATCTACCACGAGACCGTAGAGGCTAAACCCTAGAAGCTAGTCTCTGGTATGATTGTATGTTGTCCTACGGACTAAACCCTCCGGTTTATATAGACACCGGAGGGGGCTAGGGTTACACAGAGTCGGTTACAAGGGAGGAGATCATCATATCCGTATTGCCTAGCTTGCCTTCCACGCCAAGGAGAGTCCCATCCGGACACGGGACGAAGTCTTCAATCTTGTATCTTCATAGTCCAACAGTCCGGCCAAAGGATATAGTCTGGCTGTCCGGAGACCCCCTAATCCAGGAGTCCCTCAGCCGTCCCGAGGTCGTCCCCGCGGTTACACCGACCCGCGCTCTGCCGCTGCACCGCCCCTTCGGGCTGGAGCGCCGCGGCTCGCGGTCCCTACGACCACCCCGAGGTCTTCCGCTGTCGCCCTGACCTGCCCGCCGCCGCTGCGTCGCCCCTTCGGGTCGTAGAGCCGCGGCCCGCGGTCCGCCGCCGCCCCTGCACGTCGACTTCTCGTGGTATGCGCCGCGCCGCCTCCCTTGGCGCGGGAACACCGTCGTCCGCGCCGGTCTTCGTCACACTGTTGGGTTCTCCTCGCCTACTTCGAGCACCACCACCGTGCTCCTAACTTAGCCGCCGCCGCCGCCGCTGCTACCCCCGTAACCGACGCCGCCGCCCGTCCACCTCCCTTCGTCTTCGTCCAGCACCAACTCGTCGCCAGCGTCGCCATCATCTACCCCGACCACTTCGTCTACTCCGACCACCGTTGGTGACATCGGCCCCGCGCTGATGGACGCCGCAATCGTCGTCGAGTTCTTCTCTGTTGGCCTCTCCGACTTCTTCGACATGGCGTACAGCTCGTGCAGGTCCCAGTCTCCGCATGCCCGGTGCTGGCAACACCATCGTGTGCCTTCGTCCACGACATGTCCCCGGGCCTGGCAAGCCTGGTGCGGCGTTCCGTCAACTTCGTCTTCGTCCGTCTATGCATGCCCGGTGCTGGCAACACCGGTGTGTGATTTCGTCTACGATGTGTCCCCGGGCTTGGCAAACTCGTCGCGACGCGTTGTCAACAGCATCTCCTTTCCGGCGCACCACTACTTCGACACCACTGCGCTCATGCTAACTCGGCGCCCCCTTGCGCCCGCGGCTCCATGGCGACTTCCTCGACACCGGCCACCCCGACTCGACATTGACCACGACATTCTTCGCACGGCTACCTCGACCACGGCTCCACCACCCACGCTCTCGGCTACCTCGATAACGACACAAAGGGCTACCGCCTTGCTTGAGCAACCTCGTCGGTTTTCACTCCAGCCACGACTCTGTGATGCATCGACCGTTACGACTGTGGTGGGGGGGTGTTCGTCGGCTTGCCTTCGGATTCTTCTCCAGACTCACCGTCTGCGTCGCTACCATTGTGACTGCGTGGGGATGTTGAGTATCGTGATTATTAGTAAAGACAAGATAGACTAGGATTTGTTCTGGCTTGTCTTGTACTCCAAATAGATCATTGTACCCCTATATATATGCTCACAAGGCTCAAGCAATACAACAACTATTCCACCAATGCCTCTCTCTCCCTTCTAACACTACCAATGGCCAAGTTCCACGCAACATGCACACGTTGCCTATATATGTGCACACTTGACACACACAAACCGTACCTGGGCGGGATGTCTGATACGCTTCATGAACGACTTTCTGTTGGGAGTTCAAAAAGAAATTGGGCTTCCTGTTGGGATTCATCTTGGTAACTGATGTCGGCATAGTTATCAGCACATGTAGGTGTGACAGTAACATTCCCCTCCCCCCGCAGCTTGTCCCCAAGCTGGTGCTCATGGGAAACACTGACGCAGCTCATCGAGATCTTCCCGGGTAGTCAAGGGCTCAGGTTGGTCTGACCACTGAATGCGGCCTTTGGAGTGTTGTCGTCGAGCCACGCTGATGAAAACAACGCTTCAAAACATACACACACACACACATAAGGAATTGAGATAAGGAAAAGCAATAAGGGACAACGGTCGCAGTGATGTGAATGAAAAGAAGACAAAGAGGTTTGACAAGTTTATGGAGACACAAGACAAGAAGATCAAACTACAAGAGAAGAAGGCCAACGTTGATCAAGAAGATGTCAGATTTGGATCTAATGCGACGAAGATTGTGCAAATGTATCGTGCTAGCGTGTTGAAGCGCTAGGCGTACGCTTCAGAGGAGCCGACCGAATAGTGATGAATTTGGCACAGACAGCCAAGCCAGGATAGAAAGGGCTGCCATCTTTTGGTATCGGTTTGATGTAAAAACTTCTTGAACATCGGTGCATTTTGGTTGTTATTGCATCTATTTATAATGCTAAATTGTTATTGATCTACATACGCATGTCAAGTGAAAGAGGTCATACCCGACATATGGTGCATCGGGTTAAATTGTCAGCTCCCCTACCACGTACGTTTGGTGTGTCCGATTCAGTGCACGGCGTTGGAGTTGCCCTTGGTTCCATTGCTTTCTTAAATGCAACTACTAAAACCTTATCTCATAGTTATCCACCATAATTTGTCAAAATACATGTTTCCTCATGGCACAGAAAGCAAATTTCTACCCATAAAATATGTTCAATGTGAGGGGAAAACAGGTATGTGCGTTGCACTGCCGAACAAAGGTGCAACGAGGTACAATTCCTGCTGTGCAGGGTGTCCCCAGTTGACAACCATGAACAAAAAATTCAACGTAACAGATGGACCCAGGCTACAAATTAGATTGAATACAGAGATTCTAGTATTCGGGCTGCTTTATTTCCTCACTCATTTGCTGGGAGAGGGAAAACATGATCTTACAAAGGAATTGAAAACGACTTCTTCAGCTTCTCTACCTCCAAATAAGCATTAGAGTATGGGAGGAACTCTGAGAAATGGCTTTGCATAAGATCATTGATGGCCACAGCAAGCTTTGGAATCTCCATTATCTCTTCGTTGGTCAGCTTCCTAACAAACCTGGCAGGGTTGCCAGCCCAGAGTTCCCCAGTCGGAATCCTCCTCCCTGGGGCCAGGACGGAGCCAGCTTCAAGGACCGAGTTAGTTTCAACCAATGAGCCTTCCATTAGGATGGAATGCTGACCGATGATGCACTCAGGTTCAATAGTGCATGAGCGCAGAAGACAGTACGCACCCACTGTCACATACCGGTCAACAAGGGTCTCAGCTGGAAGACCTGTGAACAAACGAAGCAGAAATGAGAACCAACAACAACTAACGCAAGGTATCACCAAACATTATAGGTTAACATACATACAAAGGGCACGTGGAAAAACCAAGCACCCCCCAAAGTAGCACTATTACTTCAGGGTCTGTTCAGTTTACAGGAAAATCAAAGGGGAACTTTGAAGGAATGCTATCCTATAGTTTTTCTCCCTGTAGCAGCGTTCCATTCAACGGAATGGATGAACACGAAAATGTAGGAAAGATTTCACGGAACCTCAATTTTGCAGGAAAACAAACATGCAAAGAGAGAATTTTTTTGGCCGAAAGCCCAAGGCGGTGGCCTTGGTACCAAATAGGAAAGTCGTCCATGTAGCTACTTACTGTCAAATCAGCATGCAGCAGCATGCAACCTGAGTAATAAATATAAGGTGGGTTGCTGCTGCTGCCTTTTCTAGCCAGTCTTTCCTTTGGTTCTCATACAGTCCACAGAACGCCTACTAGTCTAGTTTTCCTCCGGTTCCTATTCCTTTCTTTTGCTACTCCAAAACTTTCCAGTTCATATGTTTCTTATTTGACCCTGTTATGTGGACCAACCCATCAAACATGGAGTCTTATTCCTTAATTAGAGTCCTAGTTGATTAAGCATCTTTGTTGAGAAAGAGTCCAGTCAGTAGAGATCTTGTTAGAGTTTGAATAGATTTACCCGCTTTTTGGTCAAGTCTTTTCTAGAGAAGAATACTATCGTTTACTCCCTCCATTCCTAAATATAAGTCTTCTTAGATATTCCAATAAGGACTACATATGGAGCAAAATGAGTGAATCTACACTCTAAAATATGTCTATATACATCCGTATGTAGTTTGTATTGGAATCTCTAAAAAGACATATTTAGAAACGAAGGGCGTACTTTTATCTACTTCTCAGTAATTAGGGTTAGGAAGATTCTTCCAATTTGGTATCAGATCCATCTACGAATGAGGGCAAATAAATCAAGATCAAGGCTGTAGAGCAAATGAAGATCATTAGGAAGCAATTGGAGGCCTTCACACGCCAACGAGCCGAGGATGTGCTTGACGGCGCTTGAGCAACGGCTATCGGCGCTGCCGCCACCTCCAGATTCCACAGCTGCAGCAGCCGCCCATGACGCCACCTCTGCCCCAGGCCCTCCTCTAACGACGACTCGCCCCTGGTGCTTCCCCTCATCAACAGCACCTCTAGTGTCCCCTTTTCCAGTGGGGGTAATCGCCACCGCCTCCGCCGGCGGACCTTCACCCGCTGGGCAGATTGCCCACCCCACCACCCCCTCACTTTCCTGCCTTTCACCTCTACTTCCCCTTGCAACAAAACCCTGTGCTGACCACTGCCAACCACTCTCAGACGCCAACAAATTTTTACCACCTCTAGCCATCTCCTTACTCGCCACAGCCACCCCCTAACATCAATCTGGACCACTTGGCACTCTCACCCTACAGCCCA